CGGCGGGGGCGCGGGGCTGCGGCTGCTGTCTGCCAACGTGCGCCAGTTGCACCAGGCGCTCACGGCGCTGCTGAGCGAGCCCGAGCGGGAGCAGTTCACTCATTGCCTCAACGCGTACCACGCGCGCCGCAACGTCTTCGACCTGGTGCGCACCCTGCGCGTCCTGCTGGACAGCCCGGTCAAGCGGCGTCTGCTGCCCATGCTGCGACTGGTCATCCCGCGCTCCGACCAGCTGCTCTTCGACCAGTACACGGCCGAGGGTCTCTACCTGCCAGCCACCACCCCTTATAGGCAGCCCGCCTGGGCCGCTCCCGACGGCGCAGGGCCCGGGGAGGTGCGGCTCGTGAGCCTGCGGCGCGCCAAGGCCCACGAGGGCTTGGGCTTCAGCATACGTGGGGGCTCGGAACACGGTGTGGGCATCTACGTGTCACTAGTGGAGCCGGGCTCCCTGGCAGAGAAGGAAGGATTGCGGGTCGGGGACCAGATTCTGCGCGTCAACGACAAATCTCTAGCCCGGGTGACCCACGCGGAGGCTGTCAAGGTAGGGCTGTGGTCTGTGGGAGTGGTAAGAGGATGGTACCGGCAGTATAGTGCTGCCTTTTCGGTTGCACTGTGCTGTTATCTCTTATACCAAATCACTTGACCCTTCTGGTCTCCCGATGTGTTTTGGTTTTGCCATCCCGACTTTAAAAGAGAAGTATCTAATTTGTGGCACAGATAGGTAGATGTTCCAAAGAAGAGAGGAATGGTGATTCTTGTCTTGTGCCCTAAAGGCACAAACACAGTATCACGTAAGCAAATGTCTGGTCACAAAGTGTGAAAGGGCTGTGGAGTTTTAGGAGGTTAGAAGAGAGCCCCTGCTTGGCATGGCGGTACTGATGATCCTCCCTGCTGCTGGCGCCTTGTTCTTGGGATCCATAGGGGTTTGCCTCTGAAAGAAAGTTCTGCTCCATTGCTAGTGAGCACAGGAGGAGGCTGGGTGACCACGGAGCCGGGGCTAACCCTCCTGATGGTAGGCTAGCTGATGTATCCTGGAACAAGCCAGACCAGAGAACTGGCTCCTGACTTTGCTGCAAACTAGGCTGCTTGTCTGTACATCCGAAACGAACCCCACAGTCCCGTGAAAGTATGCACTTCGAATGGGAGTGTATCTCTCAATTGAGAAAAATAACCTCACCACAATCAGTTAGTCGGAATCTAATCCTGTTGCATGGAGGGTCATTCGTGTTTGCTAATCTTACCGCCCAGGGTGAGTACAGCAGCCAGTTGGAGATACAGGATTTTTCTGTATCTCCTGGGTCCCTGGGTGGACGCAAGGATTTTTCTCTCATAAGCATTTAGCCCCAGGCCTACTGCTTCTTACACACAAAGTCAGAAGCTTGAAGGAAAGGAATGACAGTTCCCTATCTGCTCTCTTCAGAGAAGTGCTTCCCCCTGGTTAGGGCTAGCCTGTGAGGCCCTCCCACCCCACTCTCTGGCCCAGCTCACACAGTTGCACTAAATCAGACACACTGGCTGCTGGGCACTCCTAGGTATCAATAGTCCAGGGCTGCTTCCTGTGCAGTGTGCAGCAGCTTTCTGTCCGCCGAGTCAGGCAGACTCCATCTCCTGTCTCTGATCATTTGCTTTTCTACCCGAGGACCCCCTCTCAGGAGGCCCCTGAGGTTTCTGAAGTGTTCTTTCCAGTTTCCGGGGGAAGCTTAATGTCCTTTTATTATTCTGGGGGTAGCAGACAAAGCTCTGCCTGGGCTTCTCACTCTCTCAGGCTCCTTCCCTAACTTGATTCTCTCCTCTTTATTTTGCATCCCGTACATCTATAAAGAAATAGTTCATTAGTATTGTCCTAAGAGGTCCAAAGTTCCCCAAATGATGAATTGGTGCTCTAGGGAGACTTGATCCCAATGCCGCTTATAAGCACGGATGTAGTTTTCGTGACAGTTAACAGAAGCTGAAGTCGCTTCATCTTCACCAGACGAGAGACTGGAAAGGCAACCGGAACATGAGCCACGCAGGCTCTTCCTCCTTCGTACCTCACATCTGGCCCCGAAAAGGTTGCGCTCAGAACTGTATGTCTCAGCCTCTCTGTGCTGCTTCTGGGTGCTGCTGAGCATCGGTACCTGCATCAGCACCTGCTTGCTGCTGGCAGAGGAACACCTCAGCTCTCCCAACAGTTTAGTGGCCTCAAAGGAACACTTACCCTGGGGCTGAACAGAATAGAACAGGAACATCCTTGAAGTGTGACATCTGCAACACGGGGACCTGTGTGACCTGAGTTGACTTGGGCATCTGTCTTCCTCCTGGTGATTACACTTGTGCAGTGTGCTTCTGGCCTAAGAGAGCCTCTTGTAACCCATGTCAGACACGTGATCTTGGGACCCTTCAGAAGCACGGGGAAAGGGAGTGTTGTGTCATTCTAACTTCAGGGAATGAAGGGGACAGAATCTGCAGTGGTTCTGTAGAAGAGGATGCAGGGTTACAGGGTTGCAGCATGTGCAGGGGGACACAGCTGGAACAGCTGGAGAATAAACTGAGGACCCAGAAGGTTGTCATCGCCTGGGAATTCTGTATGTGGGGCGTCTTGGTCAGCCATGAGCTATAGGACCCAGAGGGCTCCGTGGTTAGTGTGCAGATGATAGCTGGACTCCAGGCTACATTCAGTGTCCCCGAGTTGTCTGTGTCTTCTTTCTGTCCTAGGATCCTCCATCTCATTTAGTAGAAGATATCTTTTTAATTTAAAAAAAATCTGTATTTTTCTTCTATGATGACAAAAGGAAGCGAACTCAGAACTTTCCTAGAGGAGATGAATGTTTGTGTGTATATACAGCATAAAGAGACTCCAATTAAAACAAGCCCTAAGAATCGGCGCATCAAAGAGAAACACAGGCTTTAAAAGAAGGATCGAGTAAACAGAGCTGGCTCCTCTTCTCTTCTTGACCGATCTTACATCCATTGATACCCAAAGTAGTTTGCTGAGAATTTTATCCTGCGCCCAACAGGATTCCCATTCCTCTCTTAAGTCCAGTTATCCAGTCAGCAGTAACAGGTCCAGATTAGGCAAACCACTCACTATGTAGACTTGTGTTGAAATGTTTGATTTTCAAGAGGAAAAAAGAAAAACTATTTGGAATTAACAAGAGTCAAACTAGTAATTTTTTAAAAAGTGCTCTTTCAAAGGTCTCCAGCCCAGACATGCTGGATTAGGGAGTCAAGGAGTCAGTTCATAGACTTCTTGCTACACTAAGTTCTGCTGCACACTTGCCATGTGTGACCTTGGACAAGACTCTGATATTGTCTGCTCCATGCTAGATGAGTTTAGGGGGTTTCCAAAGTTCTTCCCAGTTCTGGGAGTCTGATTTGCTTGGAATGTGCTACCCCGCTGGCGTGTAGGCCATCTGATCATCTGTGTTATTCTTCTTTTGGAATTGCCTTCAGTTAAGTCAAAAAGAATTTGCACGGATTGGGAGAAGGGAAGCTTGGCACTCCTGGGTAACTTTGTGCTAAATCAGGAAATCCATGGGTTACACACTGTGCTGATGGGAGCCTGGCTGCTGTCTCTCACCCTCATCTCTCAACCCAAGAACAGCAGCCCTGTGTGAGTTCAGAGTGAGTGGGAATTGCCGGTAGGATTGGGGCACAAACAGAACCATCTTGGGAGCTCTGGAGCAAATCCACTCACTCACTCACTAGCTTTTCTAGTCCCTTGTTGATATGGGTAGCAGCACTTAGGATGTCCGGGTACTGTGTGTGTGTGTGTATGTGTGTGTGTGTATGTGTGTGTGTGTGGTGTGTGTGTGTGTATATGTGTGTGTGTGTATGTATGTGTGTGGTGTGTGTGTGTGTATGTGTATGTGTGTGTGTATGTGTGTGTATGTGTGTGTGTGTATGTGTGTGTGTGGTGTGTGTGTGTATGTATGTGTGTGTGTATGTGTGTGTGTATGTGTGTTTGTGGTGTGTGTGGTGTGTGTGTGTATGTGTGTGTGTGTATGTATGTGTGTGTGTATGTGTGTGTGTGTGGTGTGTGTGTGTATGTGTGTGTGTATGTGTGTGTGTGTGTGTATGTGTGTGTGTGTGTGTGTGTGCTTAATAAAAACTGAAGGACTTCTTTGCAGTCCCAGCGTTCCCACAGGTAAATCTGAGCAGCAAATTAGGATCTGAAATATTCCAGACATTAAGAAGTGTTCGTAGGCCCTTTCAGTTAATTAGACTATCACTTCTCCCATTCCTTTGCAGATTCCCAGGAGGAATCTGTCAACATTAATACAAGTCATTATATTTGTTCAGGAGGTTCAAAATGACACATTTGTCATTTCACATTGCCGTGGTTGGTGAGGCCACTATATATTCTTATCGCTTCCAGATTTGTATCTGAAACCTAGTTTCTTGCATCTGGTCTTTTTCTGGGCTCCAGTTGGAAACTGTGGGTACATACTGGCTCCTCTCTTGCCCAGTAACAATTCTTGGTTCTCATAAATCCAGTCAGCCGTGACCTGCATAGTCCACTCTCCAGAAAGCTCTTGGTTACCTCATACCCAGAGTTTATGCAGGTCTGGGAGAGGGTCTGTGTCTTTAATGCAGTCTCAGGCTGACATCCCGGGCTGTAGAGAATGATGCCCTCGTCAGGCAAATCTTGCAGCTGGCTATTTGCTGTTAAATCAAAACCACACTTTTCAGCCCTGCTGTGTCAGCCTGGCTGACATTAATGGTCTGGAGGGTGTTTTGTCTTCTGACTTAAGAGATAGCCTAGCACTGGCCTTGGTACTTCTGTCACCCCAATCCGCTGGCCACCCCAGGTGGTTTATGACTTGCCTCAGGTGCTCCTTTGGATGGAGCTGCAGAGAGAAGTGTGGGTCCCCACCACTGCTGCTCCACCCTAGACTTTTGTGTGCACTGCTGCTTGCCACCTCTGCCTGCCTCCAGCCACATGCAGGAGCACAGCCCCACCTGCCGCTGTCAGCTGCAGGCTGCCCATCGTCTGCGCTTGCCTGTGTGCTCATGCATGTCTCCCCGGGTTCTTAATCTTCCCTCCGACCTGCAAAGGGCTTTGCAGAGAAGCAGGCATTTGGAGAGGGCCAGGGCTCCAGCTGGCTTTCTAGCAAAGCTCTTTTATGGCTTTTGGTCCCCATTGTTTGGGGATATCACTGGAGTGCCCAGCCAGGACCAGAGAATCTGATTAGAAGAAATGACATTAAATGGCTGGCAGTCGCTTGAGGCTGAAATACCAATCTTCACATACCCATTCCCTTTTTCCTTGTTTTAAACCCCCAGCGAGAGTGCAAGCTGGAGTCTAAGCTCACAGATGTCTAATTGTGCCGCAGGGTGGGGGTGCTTTTATAAAGTTTTCCTTCACAGCCGGGCAGGTGCCAAGGGGCAGCATGTTTTCCACTCCTTTCCTGCATTCCAGGTGGCAGCTGCAGGCACAGGGCCAAGGGTCAGAGAACATTAGCCTTGTTTTTGATTTCCTTTCTTTTTTCTTTTCATTTTTGAGAGCAGATTTATGTTTGTATAGGGGTATATGTATGTTTATGTGGGTGTATGCATTTA